GGCGTGTCCTGCGGAGTAGCGACCGTGGTGGGGAAAGCCTTCGCCGTGCCTTACGTCTCAGCTGCCCCCCCGTGCAGTTGCAAGCACACGTGCGGGGATTTCTTCACAGGAGGGAATGAAGCAGATGCCGCTGGGGCTGAGATCCGTGGATCGCCCTCCCGCCGCCGGCGCGCCCTGAACAATCGCCCGCAGAGCGCTGTCTCAGCAGCACCGTCGGCTTCTCTGCCTGGCTTCCGGACACCACCCCCCCCTCCGGACCCAGGTTTCTGCCCCACACCCTGAGACTGATCGGCGAATTTGTACCAGCACCTTTCTCCCCTGTATCGTATCGTTCAAGAGCCCGCACACTGTGGCTAAGCCTAACCCCAGGCCCCGCTACTCCCCCTTCTTCTCCTACTCTGGGCCTCCCAAGCTCAGGCCCTCTTTGCTATGGGGAACACCTTCCCACATCCTCTTCTGGCTTGGGACCCCCCTCCAGCAGCACCCCTGGGATGTCACACCACCCAAGCAGGGTGTGAACACCCCACAGCTGTGACCCCCCTTACGGCAGCGCACCTCAAGCAGGGGATTCCCCCCCCCAGCAGAATGCAACCCCTTTGCCCCACCACCACAGCTGGGATCCCACTCACAGGGCACCGCCTGAGCAGGGGATTTCTCCTCCTCCTTGCTGGCCACTCTCAGCACACCCCAGGCAGGATGCGACCCCACACAGCGAGGGTCTCCCCTCCAACAGCGCTCTCAGACGGGGGACCCCCCAGGCCAGGATGCAACCCCCTCACAGCTAGGATCCTTCCCTCCGAAGGCACCCGGCATCCCAAGGATCCCCTGCATCTCCTCAGGCAGGATGGGACCCGCTCCCTCCCCACAGCTGGGATCCCCCCTTCCAACAGCACCCTGGGTCAGAGGCTTCTCTGCACCGTAGGCAGGAGGCGTCTCCCCTGCAGCACCCCCAGCGAGAGGATCCCTTTGTCAGGATACGACCCCCGAGAGCTGGCCTGCCCTCTGCATCCT